GGCGTTGGCGCAGCCCGGGGGAAGTCGTCCCCGCCGCCGCTGGTGCTTGGGCCCTGGGCGCCGCCTGCAGGTGCCGGGCGGCGGGTAAGGGAGGAAGGGATGGAGCCCCGAGGCTGGGGGTGCTGGGCGGGGGGGAGAGCCCCAAAAGTTGATGAGGAAGGATAAATCCGAGCCGCCTTCAAAACGCCTGTGTCTGAGGTCGGGGGGTACACGGGGCAGCTCCGGGCCGCCGCGTTCAACCGGGCACCGGCACTCGACCTGGGCGGCGGGACGCCCCGCTCCGCTCTCTTGTTTCGAGAAGTGGAAGCGTAGTTCTGGAGGGCTTCTTCGGGTCAGCGAGTTTTTCTCGTGTCCTTATTTTCTATGTATCACGTTGAAGATGGAGCTTCGGTCCGTGTTCCTGAAGCCTCAGCCGGCGACCGCGGAGTTACCGGGTCATGGTGTCGTAGCAGTGAGGTAAATGAAGCCTGATCGTTTGGTAACATGCTGCCTGAATTAAGTGTAAGGTGTCACCCTTACATTTAGGCTTCCTCATGTTTCGCTTAAGGGATCAGAAAAATTATAGTTTGCATCTTTAAGTCTTCTAAATGACTACTCCCGCATGAACAAGACTTAACACCTCTGGCAGGCATAGATTATAAGACCTCTTGGAGGATTTATTCTTGCTTATATTTTCCTCAGGAAAACACTGCAAAGGATAACATAATTTTTTCTTCTTCATTTACTGATGTAGGATCTCAAAGAAATTGAGGTACGAGCTCTTCTTAGTGCTCTTCTGAGGATGGGGTCTGAAATGACTTCAGAAGCAGTTCCTTTTTTACCTCATGTCAGCTTCTGAATTTTTAAAATTTTCCTAAACAGAATGCTTATTCACATGTACCCATATAAATCACTTCGGCTTCAAAAAGCTGTTCTTTAGTACACTAAAAGATTCTGAAATATTGTCAGATGGGAAAGCTGCGCTGTCAGTTCATCATTCTTTTAACTCCTTTCCTGCCTGTTAACAGTTTTGTTGGTGTACAATTGGTATATTGGTAAACAACAACTCATAAGGAGGAGAGGAAAAAATAGATGAACAGGCTTTTGCTGATATTGCCAATTGTATTTACAGATATAAGTGGAGTACATTTAGGCACTGTACATACTGAAATTAATACATAATCTAGAAGCTGCAGTCCCAAGTTTGAAGTGAGACACTAATTGCTAAAAGGTCCAACTTTCTTTCCATGCTTTCCCCTCAAACCAGAGGAGTTAGTTCATGAGATCTGAGAATTTGGCCTAATTAGCTTATAAGAATACTTTCCCAATGAGTTTTAATATCACTCTTGTAAAATTTGCCTTGAAATAAAAGGGAAAAAATACTAAATGCTGATGAATCGAGAGCATGCTCATGGAAAAAGTATTGGGGAAAAAGTCCTCTGTTTTTACTAGACAAGGTGTGTAGTTTCAGGATAATTATATGCAAAGTGTGAGCGGGCAGAAAAGGAGCAGAAACACCAAGATAGTAATAGAGATATTAAAATACTTCATGATAATCTTCAACAACTGAATCATGTGTTGAAATTTAATTATGAAAATAGTTACTTGATATCTTAATTTAAAATCCTTTCATCGTTTACTTTAAATTGAACCAGTGCTGCAAACTTACTACTCAATGCTGTATTGTTTTTCATGCTATTAAAAAGGTGTTACATGAAACCTGTCAACGTATATGTTGTTCCCAGTGTTTAATTTTCAAAGATGTGGGAATAGGTACGGTATTATTACTCGCCCAGTATGAGATCAGTTCTTAGTGATGAAATTGTCTGGCTGTCTCTCTCTCTCTCTTTCTCTCTCAAAGTTTTTGTCTACAATTTGTCACATCATAGTGGAATGAGAAGCAGTTGTTAAATGCAGACCATTTTCTGTGTGATGTCAGTCTAGATAATGCTTTTACAAATGGTTCAATTTTACTTGATTCCAGCATACGTGATATTACTAAAGAAATTTAAAGGGGAAAAAGGGGGGTTGTTTTGCCTCTTACAATAGTTGGAGAATTTCTTTTACTCATTGACATAAATCTTAAAAAGAAAAGAAAAGGTCTTCTTTTGTGAATGTATTAGCTTGTGCTTCAGCTCTCAGTTAAGATCTGTTGTGATGATCTCTCAGGTGAACAGGACTTTGCTTCTGCTGTTTAAAACTTGGTGTGGAGAGGATGCTGCTTGAGGATGGTACCTATGAGCTGCCCGCAGCCCTGAACAGTG